ACAAAAATGAAAAGTGTAACTAAACTATCTGTAGCTGAAATTATAAGAATTATAATTGATGAAACAAGACAGGTATCTAACTAAACATAAGAAAAGCAAAATCTCCTCTCCCTCCTGGCAAAATATGTGTTATGCCCATATTAAGCAAGTTATTACCTGCAGTAAACAAAACATTCCATGTCAGAATTCTGTGCTTCATCGTGCTGGAAATGCTATGCATAATGCATTAAACTTTTAGGAAGGCAAAACAAAACCAAAAAAACAACAACCAAAAAATAAAACCCCACCGACAAACCAACCCCACCAGCCTCTGAAGGTGGTTGGTTCATTAGTTGGTTATTTGGGGTTGTTCATTTTTTTTTGTCTTTTCCAAAATGAAGCAGCTGTCTGACTTTAACTCAGTGGTAAGCTCCCTGGTGACCAGGAGTCCAGCAGTCAGTGGAAGTGGGACACATAGAGAAACTGCAACTGAGGAAACCTCCCATTAGTGTCCAAATATCCTTGGAGAACCAAGTTTGCGTCTTTTGGTCTCCAGCATTCTGATTTGAAGCCAAGAGGTGCTGGAGCCCTGAAGCCCTAACACTCTGTATACTTATAGTGTTGAGATTTCCATCCTACCCCTGCTGTGGCTTCAGCATTGATATGTTGAAAATGGGAAGTCTCATTGTGTCTTTGAGTATCTTACTAAGTTTGCCTTTCAAACTATTTCAAGTTTTCCCTATTTAAATTCCAAAATTCCTATGGACTGTATAAGTATTCTTGCAAGGCTAGGTGAAGTAGACTGGTGAAGGAACAGCTATCCTGTGATTCTGTCCTGCCTTTCCACAGATGACTGAATGGTGGAGATGCAATACACATCTCAGTACAGAGGTGTTGGTAGGCGTTAAATGTTCTCCTTTAGAGAGGCAGGCATGTTAGTAGGTGTTAAAACTTCTCCTTTAGTGGTTCTCTCTCCAAGTGAACCACTCTTCTACATTCCCAAAATATTACTTTTTCTCTATATTAATTTCATTTCATGTCACTAAGAAAAGTGCTGCCCAGTTTAAGTGAGAAATACTTTTCTGTTTGGCTCTTCCAGGGCTTTCAATGATACCATTATCAAGGTGATGGCTACCTAGCACCAAATCCAGCTTTCACACTTTGATGAAAGTTCCCAAAACCAAGGGACATAAAGTGGGTTTAAATCCCATGAAATACTGGGTTTATGTTTCCTACCCATTCTTCCTTTTTGTTCCCTTTCTTTCTCTCTGTCTCTTATTTCCTTGGGATGTAGCCATTTTGAATGGAGGCCATCTTCCATTTTGGCCTGAGAACTGGACTGGAAAGATTTGAACCTCAAATCCAGCTCCAGTACCTTTTAAATGTTTTATCACTGAAATTCAATCTGTGTAAGTAAAATAAACGCCCACACGAAAGTGAAATTAACTGAATGTATCCCCCTCTCAGTAAATAAAATAAAATAGGAAATAGATAAAGGAGAGAAATGTAAGGAATATTAACTGGAGATACTTTACATCTCCCTCAGGCCAGCCTGGCAAGTATCTTTTTAATCTGTGTTTCATGAGAACACTTGCAACTTCAAGTATTTTTAAGAGCCGGGAGGCTGAGCTCCATTGTGCAGGGTCATGCTGGCATAAATTGCTGGAACTGAGCTGCCCATCCAAGGCACAGAAGAGGAGTTACTACATTTCTGTTGGGAAACTGGCACAGGTGATGGAGGAGGGTGTTTTCCCTGCTTTATTGTGACCGACCCTTTTTTCTTGCCCTTTACATTTGCTCCCTGGGCATTCGGTCATATCACCTTCCTCAGCCTGGCTCCGACTTGATGATGATAACTGCATGCAGAGTTTGTAGTTCTTCCCCTTTCCTGCCAACCTTTGCAATTCCTTTCTTCTTCAATAGCTGCTTGCTGTCAGTGCGCTAACTCTAGGGTCTGAAGTTCTCCATACTGACAGATCTGCCTCTGTCAGTATGTGTCAGGATGACCTATTCATGGACCAAATTAATCTTCTGAAATTTATTCTTTCTGTTGCTCCTCCTGCTTCCCTCCAAGGCAGCAAGTTTCCTCATGTGCTGTCTGTTAGGATCCTGAGTCAGAACAGGAAAATGGTCTGCCTGATCCAGGATCTTTTTTCTTAGTTAGATCCAGGGGCTTCCTGTGCAGTCACTGTGGTCTTCTGATCCCCTTCTATAGAAAGGGGTCGGGGATAGAAGTAAGATGATTTGGAGGGTTCCAGAAAAAGTGTTCATGTTTCTTATATTTTGCAGGGATTTCTTGGTTCTTTATAAGGTGGGATTTGATTAATGGTCTAGTTAGAGGGGGGCATGTAGGCCTCTTTTGTTCCTCCCACTCTTTTCTTCTTCTCGGTGAAGGAGCACACTTGCTGAAGACTACCTTCAGGAAAGGGTGTTGAAGAGCTTGACTGCTGCTTTGCATTCTGGAGAAAGTGTCTCTTTCCCTGCTGAATATACATGCTTGCTACTTGCTCATCTGACCTGGGGATTAGAACCCAGCATTTTGCCTCCTAACGAAGACAAACACTAGCTGTTTCAAAAGGAAGGGTAATCCATCCTCCATGTGCTATTTTCCAGTCAGGTATGTTTAGGTCTGCCTCTGAGGATCACATTATGCCTGGAAACCAGAGCAGTTTCCTTGTTACTGTGTTACCTACGCTAATGTGATGACTCCTAATGTTCTGGCTTAATCTACCCTCCTGAGTCACAATGAAGTAGGGTGTGGATGCTCTTTGTTCCCACTAGATCTTCCATCCTTTCAAACTGCCTTTGTAGGCTTCTGCCCTGAAAAGAATGTCATGCTATCAGGATGCAAATTGCATGACTAGAAGTTGCATATTCTCATTGCCTCATTGAAGGCAGAGTGCTCTTTATGTCCCTGATACTGCCAGTGTCCAGGGCAGTGTCTAGAAGCCTCTAAGTGTCAGCATCCTGCCCTCTGGGTGGTTTTAGTCAATAGGAGCGTTCTTTTGATGAAATGGTTGTCTTGAACTATATTGGTTGAGATCGTCATTCAGTTTTGTACACAGCTTCTGGGAAGAGCTTTTGCTGCTTGTCTAATCTGCCATCAGACTCTGGAAAGAGCAGTATGGATTAGAAAACCGAGTTAGTTGGTCGTTATTTAAAAAGGAAAATTAAAAAAAAAAAGAAAAAAAGGCTGAGATCATTAAGCAGTTCAATAAAACAATCATAATTTTTCTAAGAATTTAGCTGAGCCCAGCCAGCTCATTTCAGATGTGTGTTCTGGCCTCTTTGGTGGTTCTTCCAAACCTGGCATTTCTGATTCCCTGTCTGTCCCTCCTTTCCCTCCCACATGCTTGACCTCCAACAGCATTCCTTCACTTGTCTTAAGACCTTACATGTCGTTTCACTCTCCCTCTCTCCCCAAGAATGTGATCCTGGCCTGAGCTTTCTAATTGTGTGTAGCAAGAATAAAACTCCTTGCCTCACTTGGCTGCCCCCCTGTTTGGAAATTCACCCTAAACATTTCCACATGGTTTGCACTTTTTTTGCACAGCTAAAATTTTTTGGGTTTTTTTTTGCCTTTAAACTTTTTCTTGTTTAAAAAAATCCCTCCAGCTTCTTCTACCTTAGGCTGCTGGCACTGACCTTGCCTTGTTACTGTTTGCATTTCTTTTGTACCTTTTTGCAGCTGAAATCTCTACAGGCTTTTAAATCTGTCAGCAGCCGCTACCAGGCTCAGTGTGCAATTTAGCTCACTGTTTTCACAAGTTTCCCAGCCTTGAACCCTTTCCAAATGAGCCATTGTTGGGCTGAGTTAAAGAGGTATTGTCTCTGCTTGGGCTAGGTTAGTGTGGGTTCCAGAATCTGCATGTGCAGCATTCTTAGTGCTGCAGTGTCATCTTGATATTGGACCCCTTCTCCAAACACTTTCAAATATATAGGAAGAAGAAAACCCTGCCAAAACTGAATCATTGAAACATTATTGGAAGCTTGTCTTTATATTGCTGAAACTCTCATTTAGACATCTTCGTCTGTCCCTGCTCATGCAGGCTGCTTGCTATGAAGACCATTCTTATTTGTTTCCTTCCCATTAGGACCTGAAACTGTCAACTGTGATTGGAGCCCTGTTCTGGTCAGTGCTGAATAAACACAGAGCAAGTAGCAGTCTCTGCTTTGATGATTTTATAGACATATTGTACAGGAAGAGAGTCTATTGTTATCCACCTTTTACAGAAGAGAAACCAAAGCTAGGGAATTCGGTGGTGTATCCAGAGGGAGCTTGTAACAGAGTTGGGAGTCAGTTCCAGATCACAGCATTATCCTTCATTTTGTAGGTTGGCTAGGCTCTAAAAGGGTGTGTTCCACTGAACTCACTTTTCTTAACAGAGACTGAATTTGCTGGTCTGTTCAACCTGGTGTGATGCTGTGTGGAGATATTTCCTTTATGTCTGAAAAGCTGGTTGTCTTTTGCTGGGGACTGTGTGGTTCAGAGGACAAACATCTGGCCAAACCTTTCAACCTGTAGGTTGCTGTTGACATCACTGCCACTAGACAACTGTCTTGTGACCTTTGTTTAAAAGATACAGTGATTTCACTGTTCTCCTTCTATGGAAGACCAAGCTGGTACTGCAGGCCAGGAAAAAAGTGTATTGAATTTTTAGCCTTTCTTTAAGAGTCATAAGGAGTGTCTGTGTCACATAAGCCAGTGCTTTGGGTTTTTCACTTCATGCCTTTCATGTGGTCTTTCCCATCCTTGACTAATCATTAGTAATGGAAGTTTGACATGGGAGTTGTTCAGGCTGCCTCTCTTCATAGGTTCTGCTCTGACAGGGAGAACTTGCAGTAGCAAGGTAAAAATTATGAAACCAATAATCTTTGGAGCCTTTGGGAGCCACTAAGTCCTCTGCCTTTTGATTGAAGGCTAGTCACCATACCTGGTCCAGACTCCTCTCAACCTATTAGAAGTTACCAATGCAGCTGTTGACTGTTGTTTTTCTGTTTTTCTTTTTCACAATCTCCAGGATGAATTGGATCTTACAGACAAGAACAGAGAGGCTATGTTTGCACTCCCTCCAGAGAAGAAATGGCAGATTTACTGCAGCAAAAAGAAGGTACTACTGTTGTCCCAACTGAAGTAGCTCACCAATAAATTCTGTGTGCACGTACATTATTACTGATATACATCTAGATTTGAACTACATGTTTATCTACTGTTTACTCAAGAACATGATTAAGTGATGTAAGGATTTTTATCAGCATGAATATTACACAACTTTCTTCTAAGTAGTGTATGCATGTGTGATTTCTGAAAAGGATGTTAACAAGTTAAAATCATGTTGTCCCATTCTGAATCTTTTGCACGTTTGGTTTTGGGTTTAGTTTGAGGTATTTTTTTTTTTCTTTTTTCTTTGAGCTGGAAGAAAAGCTATCACGGAAATTTTTTAAGGAATTTTTAAAAACTTTTGTAGGTTGCTTAGAATAGAAAATGTATTCTGAAATCTTTCAAGATGTCTTCAAATTTCTGTAAAGTACATAATAATAGTGATGTATTAAAACTTGGTAGTTCAAGGTCTTCCAGAGCTTGTAGGAAACGTTCTGTATTGCACTGGAAAGTGAAGAAGACCTGCTCCTATCAATTTCTACATAACGCTTCTCCATTCAAGGTCTTCAAATTTCTGATGAACCAGTGAAAGGGGCAGTAAATCAGAGGCTGATGTATCACACTAAGTATTTTGTCACTGGCAGAATGATGGCCAAGTGAATTGACAAGTTGTATCACTGTTGTGAAACTTATAAAAGAAGAATTCTTGCAGGAGTGGTGTGGTGGAAAAGTTTTGCTGCTCTAGGAAGGAAACACTCAGAAACAAAGATAGTCCCAACAGTATGTATTCATTAACAATAATTGTTAGGGGAAAAAGGTGTGGTGAGTTTTATTTCCCAAATGTGCAAGTCATGCTATGAGAGCATTAGTCTTTGTATGTAAATCCATATATCAGAACCTGAAAGAGGAGCCTTAGATTTCAGTACAGAAGATGGCAGATTGAAACCCTGATGATGGTCTTTCTGAGGTTGTGTTTGCTGCCTCTCTTTCTGCGGGGGTTTGGGGGAGTGGGGGGATGGGGGGGAGAGGAAATTAGCTTGCTTTCTTACCATGTAATTAAAGAAAACCTCAGTCAAACCAATCAGATGGGTGCTTTGCACATGTATTGCTTTTGGTTGAAATGCATCACGTGGGGAAGTTAATAGCAACAAACCAGTTACAGTGCCTCTGAGCTAGCAATAATTCAGGAAGTGCGTAAGAGCAGTCTAGGCTCAGTTGTCTTGGGTGCTCTCTCCGTTCTTTTTCCTGCTGGTACAGAGAGCTTGCAAGTAGAGGGAAGGTGCAGGCTGCTGTGGTTAATGTCTGCTTTACATTTTTGCTGGCTGGCTCAGCTGGCTTTTTCAGCTTTGGTGGGAGAGGATCTATTTGTAGCTGTCTTAGAGAACCACACATTCCACCTCCCAGACCAGTCAGCCTTGGCAGGAATATTCAGGCTTTAATGTATTAAATATGTTGGTTGGTTTCACTCCATTACACTTTTTTTTTTTTTCTTTTCTTTTTAAAGCAGTGGATTTGATATAAGAATCTGAAGACCTCCAGAGTTAAAGAAGCTGCATACTGGAAAATCTTTATAATGCATTTATAGTGCAACCTCAGTTAGCTGAACTCCAGCTATCCAGAATGATGTGCTAACTGGAACAGGATACTGTTGCCAGATGTCTATTCATTACCTTGTAGATACTTTCAATTACTTGAAACTTTAACTGTTCAATATTATTCATTGTTTCTCTCACAAGCAGTCAGATGATCCGTGATGACATCTCTCTCTCTGTAGCCTACTAACTAATTTACCTATCATCATTGTTTTACAGTGACAGAGAAGCTTGTTACAGGCTTCCCTTTAGAGGAAAGCTCTCCCCTGAAGAATTTGTAATCTAATTTTAGCCACAAAGGGCCCAATTCCTCACTTGGCAGAACACTGTTAGCCATCCAGGACAAGCCCCCAGAGAGCTCTGTCTTGCTGATGTTGGGTTCTTTGAGTTTACCGGGAAGCAAGGGCTGTACGTTTTGTAATGTGGCAAGTGAAAACACTGTGAACTAGAAGGTCAAGTAGTCCTGGCTGAGGTAACTGTTCACAATCCTTAACCTCAGATGACTTTTCTAGTCTAAAAGTAACAGAAGGTCAGAGCTTCCTGATTTGGTCTAAAGGTGGTGAGATTAGTGGATTGTTTCAAGTAAACAAATGTTACTTGCACAAATGAAGATTAGTCATTGTTGTAGGCACATTTATCTTGGCAGTTAGACTTTAGATATAATCTTGTATGGTATTTGTTCCCAACATGGTAGCAGAAAGTCACTATTGTATCAAAAAACTCATTCCAGCTGTTTCTGATACCAAACCTTTCTGAAGAAATGGGGGAAGACATGTATGTTTGTGCACTTAAAGTTATTTGCCAGGGGCACAACTTACCAGTCAACATTCCATGGTACTCAAAGGAGATGCAGTTCTGGATTGAAATTTCATGATTGTGGGTGATATCTACAGAGGAGAGTTCACACAATATTATACAGCCATACTTGCTTTGGTCACTTTTGTCCATCCTAGGTTCATATCTGAAACCATTAGTTCTAAAAACCAGTGATTTGATCTAAAGGAGTAGCTTCAGCTAGCAGCTATAGTGAATGCTTCACTTTCATTTGTGGAGTAGCTATTTGCAAGGAAAATGTTAATGTGTTCTCAGTCTCAGCTGTCCTCTACCTTGCCATTAATCAGTACAGAGTGGACAATGAGAGATGTAGTTGTCTTAATTTGCATCAAAAGAATCATTATTCAGTCACCACTGACAGCACCCTGACCTTCTACCCAAAACACCAGTACTACATGTTTCAGACTGCCTCTTTCTCTGTAGTATGAACTTCCCCTGATATTATATTGAGATATAAGTAAAGCCATATGTAGACAGAATGCAAATGACATCATCCCCCAGTTCAGGTACTTTATTCTGGTTTTGGTTAGGATAATCTTCATGTCTCACCATCAGCTGAAATTTAGACTTACATAAAGCACATAATCCACTTCCATAATTCTTTCCTGTAAAATTATCTCTAGATTTCCCACTAGTTATATGTTTTGCAGGAATTAGGCCAAGCACTAGACCATGATTTCAGATGTATTTATTTGTAAATTTCTGATGTCAAGGTTTAGAAAACTGTGATATTCAGTGCTGGTTTACCAGAAGCTGGTACTAAAGTACATAATCTCATTAAATACTGATCAAATAATGATATGGAAAGCAAAAATTGTCAGCTCAATTATTTCACCTGCAAAATGAGCTCATATTGGTATCCCCCAAAGGGTAGAAAATGCAGGTATTGCACTGCTTTGGCACACATTGCTTTGATTGCAGTCTGCATTTCTAAGAACGAGGCCTCATTGTGCAGGCAATAGCTTATTGCCTTCTGTACAATCCTACAAGCTCTTAGACTTATTACTATTGAAAATCAAGTGAAGTTGTTTTCTTTTTATGGCCTTTCTTGCCTCCAGAGACTAATTTGTAAGCCTTCAGTTGAGCAGATTTTAGTAAGAAGTGCACATTTTGCAGAGTTAAACAAGTTAGGGTTTTTTTTACTTCCGTGTTTCTTTGAGGGAAAAATTGGTAGCAAATCTCTTTCCAAAGTGCAGTCAAACTGAACTATCTGTATCATACAGCTTGTCTCCAAACAAATAAACAAAACCAACAAAAATCTTAATCCTAATAACTATTTGAGCTCTCCTAGATATTTTGGAGTTATTTTGTACTCTTCTGATTTTAGTTGTACCCTAGAATGGCTGTTTTGAGTTGATTGTGCTTTACCTACTCAAGTGAAATCATTCAAACTCAAGTAGTAAAGCAATAATGAGCACACTGCAGCTTTCTGGAAAGAGGCATTTATGGCATCTGAAAAAAAGAGTACATGCTTATAATCCTTAAATTGATTATACTTTTTCTATTATGCGAAACACAGAAAGGCTTCTCCACAACAGCAAAATAGGCTTTAAAAATTCTGAGGAAAATTTATCTGAACCATACTCTGTAACAGCCAATATGCAGAAAAGAGAATTTCCTTATGATTCCATCCCCTGCAATTATTTTTTTAATATCTGTCAATTATATTTTTCATCTACCTGATGAATAAAAAAACCCTAGTAAACTGAATATGAGAATAGGAGTCAGGAAACTCCTTGGTTCTAAAGGTCTTTGATCTAAATTATTGTATAATTTCAAAGAACTTTTCATTATTATATTTATATATAAATGCATTTTTGTCTACCTGAAAGAAAGAGTAGCAAAGTTAGGAAACTCTGTGGCAAGGTTCTGGCCATGCCATCATCTCATACCTTTTCCCTGCACTATATACACATGCCTTGGCTGCATAAAACATTCCTTCTTTCCCTTTTCCCTTTTCTCTTTTTTTAAGATACAATCTTAAAAATATGAATATATTTTCAGTTTAAGCACTGTTCATTCTTTTTCCTTGCTGCACCTGTCTTCTAAGGTATTCTTGTAGGAATGGATTTTGTGACGAAGTCTCCAGACATGGGGGAGCTCACTGCAAGGAGCAGGAAGGATGGAGTAGAAGGCACTTTTGTGCATTAAACAATCACTAAGGAGTCCAAGTCCTTTGGATTGAGGTCGCAGGTCAATGCTGAAACCAGTGACGCTGCAGTCCAGGTGCAGAGTGCCCCAGATACCCTTCTAGAGAAGGTTTACACCTCTTCCACAAAGAAGCAGCAGATACTGCTGCATCACCTTGTGTTCAGTTCCCTTTTCCTAATGTGAGGGCTGCATCCAGCCCTACATTAGGCTTCAGAATGCCCTGGGGAATCCTAGCCTTAGTCAGGCTTTAACTTTTAGAAGTTTTACTGCAGTCTTTTTATACCATTTGCAGCTCAATTTCACAAACTCCCACTTTGGTCCCGTGCTGGCTGTCTAACGTTAATTAAGATAATGTCTAGATGTCAGTTTTGGGTTTTTTTCTTTCTTTGAGAGTTTCTCTTTGGGCTTTGCCCTTGAGATTTGCATTGTCAGC